GTCTGCACCACTGATGCAGATGGTGCCACAGAGGAGAGAGAAACCAGTCTATTGTTGTCAAGAAAGTGTGCTGACCTTCAGACTGCCTTTGAGGGGCTTGCACACCCCCAGGAGTCTGTGGACCATACTTTGAGACCTGTAGCTATAATTATCTCTCCCATCAATACGTTAAAAAAAATTCATGGTTCAAAGAATGTTTTTGTATGCGACAGCTTTTTCTTAATAAAAACCACAATTTAAATTTTAAAAGTACATGACTGATGGCTTCGAAAACTCAGTCCTCAGTACAGCAATACGTAGAATCATTTCTGATTCATAGCTCTGTTCCCCCCACACAAGGGTCAGCACATTGCAGCCCACAGACCACGTCCGGCCCACTGCCTGTGTCTGCAAATAAACTTTTATTAGAACAGTCAAGCCCATTTGTTCATGCCTGTCTGTGGCTGCCACAGCAGAGCTGAGTGGTTACAACTGGGAGTATTTGGCCCACAAAGCCAGGAATATTTACTATCTTGTCTTCTACAAAAAAAGTCTGCCCACCCTATTCTAATAGAAAACACAAAGGGTTAAAACAGCAAAGCTTTCACCAATGCCTGGATTAACATAACACGAAAGGCAGAGTCTTCAGTTGTTTTTCCTGATACACTCACATAAAATGTAAACACTTAGGGAAAACAAAGTTGTTCAGCCCCACTGCCCGTCATGGTGGAGGTCTTACCAGAAAGTCTGCTTGGCCGTCTGGATGACGTTCGCAGACATCTCCACATCTATGTAGTCGTAGTGCAAGGCCCCGGGGTCTGTGGAGGAGCCTGTCTCCGCCAGCAGAATCCCGATCCATCTGCCCATGTCCTCAGAAGATGACGCCTGAGGAGGTGAAGGGGGAAGTGCATGTCATTTAATTAATGGTAGAGTTTCAACAGGTTCATGATGTGTCAACAGAGACCACACACAAACAGGAAGGCAGTTGAACCTGAAGCTCATGCGGATTATGATCAGGAGGGGGAGCCTCCACCTGAGCCGTGGGATCGACGCTGCATTCACACCAAGCCTTGAAGCAGAGGCTACATAATGGCTGGACCCAGGCTGTGAAAATCTGAGGTCCTAAAATGCCTGCCAATTATTTGGGGGAAAGGAGCTAGGGTATAGGACATGAAGTTAATGTGATTAGTTAAATCTCAGCTAAATGAAGTTGTTTAGAAAGCCTCACTAATCTGGCCTGAAAAGACGCCCCCGAGCCTGTGCTGGCCCAGCCTGAAAAGGACCACCAGGCGCAGGCCCTGCAGGCCTTACACTCCCCTAGCTGGTCCTGAAGTGACATTTCATTCCACTTCATCAGATGGTATAAAATATTTACTTCCTTTCATATCAGTGTTTATGTAGCTGCAATAATGTTTCGCAATCACTGAGCTGCTGTGCTTGCTATTTTTAGGACGTTTAAAATGCTCCAAACCCTGAATTTGATCTTAATTTGCAAGTCTGAGATACATCCTTAATATTTGGTTCATTAAGTCTTTAAGTCGTTGTTGTTACATGATTTAGAAAATTGATTATATTACATTTAGAATGGTACATGGAATGTTACATCGATTTGATTAATCTCACACGTAAGTAATGTATGAAGTTTAGGGGACACTGAGCTATCGCAGGTATGACTTAATTGAATGTCAAAGAAAAAATAAATGTAAATTAAAATTCTTTCAGAACTCTGCAGATGTTGGTGCTGTGTGTGGCTTTTCTGTTCATGTTTGATTTTAGGACTGGACTCTGGAGGGGGTAACGGAGCACGAGAACTCTCAAGGATCCGGGCCTGAACCTGCAGCGCTTGGAGCAGGGCGTCACAAGGGACTTCCTCAGCAAGCCTTCCCACCCTGCCCTTCTCCCTGGGCATCACTCCCCTCTCAGATGGCAGGAGTGACCTCTCCTTCCTCCTCTGGCACCAGCCTCCTGTCTTGTCTTTGCACCACTCTCAGAGCAGCTGCCAGAGCTCTGCAAGAGCCCCACACGGTCTTATACTGAGAGCAGAGCCCCCCATTTACGTCTTCAGCTCTCTCCCCCTGGATACCCTACAGGTATCAGCCCACAGAAGTGCTTGCCCAGCACACTCATTCCAGCCTGACACGTTTCAGACAAATAAAGACGCCAAGAGGGAAGAAAAGATGTGGGTGTGGTCAGTCAGCAACAGCAGCAGGACCAGGACCCAGAGATTCCCCTAACCCAGGCCTGGCCCTCCTTCTGAGGGCCTCATGCTGCAGAGTCAGACCTCAGACCTGCTGTCTCCACTCTTGGCCCTGAGCTCTGAGGAAGTAAGAACTATGCCCTTCATCATCTTTTGCCCCCACCAAAAAAGTTGTTTCCATGAAAATCGTCTCTGAAACAAACTCCCATCTCCCATCAAGACCTTGGAGATGAAAGAAAATAAATAAATAAGTAAATGCCCGGCCGGGCGTGGCTCAGCAGTTGAGCATCGACCTAGGATACAGGCGATCAGGGTTCAATTCCCGGTCAGGGCACATGCCCGGGTTTCAGGCTAGGCGGCCGATCAATGACTCTCATCATTGATGTTTCTATCTGTCTCTCTCCCTCTCCTTTCCTCTCTCTGAAATCAATAAAGATATATTTAAAAAAACAAAAACAGAAAACAACCTTGGAGATGGCCTATGTGGGTCCCCTTCAGCCCAGTCACAGCCCAGTCTATTTCCTCCACTGACTGGCACCTCTGCTGTCATTTAGAATGTGGTTGTACATCTGATTAATTAGAGCACATCAGCCACTCCATTAACCCTAACAGACCTCGTCCCATGGACGATGTAGCATAAATATGCTGCAGGTGCCATGGAAATTCTGCCATGACATGGTGTAGACACGGATACATGTGTCTGTGTGTGTAACTTTGCATCTTTGTCATTACAACGCCGAATGGGAAAAAAGACAAAGGGGGGGCCCCGCTGGTGTGGCTCGGTTGAGTGTCGTCCTGTGCACTGGAGGGTTGCTGGTTCCATTCCCAGTCAGGGCACACACCCACGTTGCAGGTTCAGTCCCCAGTCGGGGCACATACAGGAGGCAACTGATCAATGATTCTCTCTCACATCAATGTTTCTCTCTCTCTCTCCTTCCCTCCCCCTTCCTCTCTCTCTAAAAACAATAAAAACCTATTTTAAAAGAAGATAAAAGGGGAAAGGTCTGAATTAATATCGGGTAGAAAATAAATATAACAGATGAAAAATAAAAATTCAAACTTTCAAAAATGAACGTTAAGTAGCTTGCTGAGGCTGTTTTAACCACCTTTTTCTGCTTCAGCGAACACATCCTGAAAAGGCAGCCAAAGGAATGACAGCCATGCATGAAGCCAGGGCTCCTGCAAACCAAGGTCTTGGTTCCCACGTGCCACGGCTTGCTGGCCACTGTCATCTGCAAACACGAACTGTGTCTACGAAGAAGCTGTGGACACTGAAGGGAGAGTCACAGGAAACCGCCATCTCAAGGCAGATGTCACTAGGGTGGAGGCTCTGCTGGGAATACTGAGGCAAGTGCTCCTTGGTGTGGAACTGTGTGTGTTTCCACACAAATATGCATGGAGAGGAGAGGAGAGGACACGAGGAGGTATCTAGTGGGCAAGTCTGATTTGCATGGCTCAGCAGAAATGGGAGCAGTGCTGTTTAATTTTTCAGGACCCTCAGAATGGGAGGCCACAGAGGAGCAAAAGCAGAGACCAACAAAATGGGCAGAGAGATGGAAAAGGGCATGGATCAAAGCCGAGGTGCCACCAGCAGGGCGCGAGGAGCTCTGACAGAGGAGGGAGCTGGCTCTGGAAGGAAGACCATCCTACCTCCAACACGGCCACCTCTTGCCCATTGCGCAGGAGCCGGAAGGTCAGAGGGTGTCTGGAGTCCAACCCTGGGATCACCTCGCAGCCACGGAGAGGAATGGACGCGATGTGGGTCTTCAGGTCGGTCCTGTCCTTGTGCAGAATGAGCTTGTTGTCCTTGACCCGGCACCAGCGTTCCCGCCAGCGGTTGTTGGAGAGCACGTTCAGGTGGCCTGCAACGACATGGAGCCAGCGATCAACTCCCAGAGAAGACGCCTACGCACCCATGCTCTGTCTCATAAAAGGAGCCAGGGCAGGAACATGCACAGAAAATGCCCCTCACACCATTTTAGATGCAAATTCACATACATGGGAAGAGCCATCGCAGCCATACGACTCATTTCAAATAAGCTTGGGGCTTTTCTCAGGACAACAAGGCCCTACTGGAAGCCCCTAATCCAACACGGTGTGATGTGCAAAGAGCCCCGGACACGGTTCCTGTTTCCATGGGAACTGGCGCTCGCCGGGAGAATGTAAAGGGTCATTAAGCCATTGGTGTCTGGGAATGAGGACACGATGGCCTCTCCAAATAGCTGAAGTGACACACAGAAGGGGGTTTAGATTCATTCTAAGTAGCTGCAAATGACAAACAGAGCAAAAGTTAGAGGAGGGCAGACTTTGGCTCCACATGAGAAAAAGAACAGCTGAAAAGGAAAGATTTCCAAAAATTAGGGGCCCTGGAGTGGTAAGCTCCCCAGCATTGGAAGTGTGCCAGCAAATGATGGAATGGTCCCTGCGTGAGGCCCCTACTCAGAGGCCACACGTCCTCGGTGACCTTGTCTCCCTGGTCACCATGCTGGAGGACTCCATCTGACTGCTGAAGCCTGCCCAGATGGCACCTAAACGTTCCAGTCAGAATGCACAGGAAATCTGCCATCCAGGTGTGGAGATACACAGACACAGCTATTTAAATACAGAGATATCTTCACAAGTGATAAAACTACAGGAAGAATTATCCTTACTTTTATTGTTTGGTTTTTTTATGTGAAATTTACAGGTTTAAAAAAAATTTTTTTTTAACTCATTGATTTTAGAGAGAGGGAAAAGGAGGAGAGAGAGAAAGGGACATTGATTTGTTGTTCCACTTATTTACACACTCATTGAGTCTTGTATGTGCTCTGACTGGGGATCGAACCTATAACCTTGGCGCATTGGGACAACGCTCCAACTAACTGAGCACCCGGCCAGGGCTTATCCTTATTTTCAAAAAAGAAATCTCTTCAAATACAGAAAACTGATCACTTTCATTTGTTACAAAACATAAAATGCATCTTTCTAAAAATATCATGAAAAACAGACTTCACAGGGTGGTGTAACTGCTAACCACTACATAATGCTAGTAGATTATGGCCCCTTCCTTTAAGGTTCATGAAGAGAGTTAAACAGCATTAAAAACGCAGGTCCAGAATAAAGAAAGGGTTCCTTAAGTCATCCAGCTATTCTTGCAATTCACACATGGGAGTGTGCACACACACAGGGCTCAATACAAAACAAAATAATGCTTTCCCATCCTGAGTTTCAAAAATGCTACTTGTAAACGACACACTTCTGATACATTAGTCTTTAGAAGGAAGGAAGCTCCACTGAAAAACCCCGAGTCAGTTCTGGCTGGACACAGCAGTGGCTGTGAGGACTGTGTGATATCTATGGTTCAGCGCCATCTCTGAGTAACGAATCATGCAGAAAGACTGCTTCTTTGGACTTCTGTGAAATGACTGTCAACGGCAGCCATCGTCAGCATTCTGTAAGCATGAATGACACAGAGGCCCGGAGACAAACGTGACCTTAACAAAAATCAACACACAGAACACTGGTCATCGGAAGCACTAAGCCATGGGCACTGCCAGGCTAGGTCAGGCTGGTGGGGGCAGCCTACGTGTGACCTGGAGGGGAGGTTCAGTGGTTGCTCTTCAGGGACCTTGAGGCGGGAACTTCTCCAGCCTGGGAAAGGCCAGAGGTTTGGCCGGGAGGGGAGCATGGGAAGCAAACACCTGAACCATCCAGGGCCCTGGTTACAGCCAACCTGGGACTCTGCTGTAGGAACCTGGCCTGATGCAGGTGACAGAACCACAAAGGGAAGTGCAGGTCTCAGTGTTCACTGGGGAACTGAGGCAGTGAGAAAAGCCTGGGGTGGTCTGCCCACCCAGTAACAGTGCCGCTCTTCCTGTCCAACCTCAGAATTCACCGCACAATGTCTTCAGTGCAGGGGACGGCAGTTCTGACGGAGCCACCACCCTGAACAGGGGAAGGCTCTCTCATAGTATTTTCTCCCCTGACCGAATCTGGCCACAAGTCACCAAATAATATAAATTCCTTGACATTTGAGTCACAAAAGGAATGATTCTATTGGACAGACTCCTATTTGTGTAGAACACAAACTTCCTATGAAATTAGCGTGTTTTAACGCCTTCCTCAGATTTTAGAGTCAATTTCATGGTAACTGCCCATGCGTGGCCGCTAGCCTCCCTGTCCAGCACACTGCCCTCTGCTCTTCTCAGAAATGGTGGCCTGAAATCCCCATTCTCTGGGTAGGGAGCGTGGCTATGCAAGGCCACGCGGGGGAATGCAGACCACCCACCTGAGGAACCTGGAGTCAGAGGGTAAGACCCCCAAGTCCCCTAATACTCTCCCAACCCAACACCGCTAGTGGGGCTGATGGAAGGGAAGCCAGGACTGTTTGGGCTCCTGATCCCACCACCAGGGGGAGCCGCAGTGCAGCCCAGCCCCCTGGACTGGGCCCTCCAGCAAGAGCTGCAGGCCGACTAGGTCACAGGCTTGCCCGGATCACTTCAATGTTATGGTTATCTTAACAACTGGGAAATTTCAGTTTAACATTTTGAGATTTTCTCCAAATTGTAAAGAACTCGTTTTCTTGCAAAACCGTGGCAAGTGTGCATGAGGCTTCATGAGAACTACAGAATTAACTTTACAGGACCGAGAGCAAACAAACAAAAACACAGAAGGAGGGGACAGACACCAGTACTGATGCACTCAGCTGCTGGGATGACTGGCCTCTCTGGCCCAGGGTGGGCGGCTCTCAAGGTCAAGCAGCTGCTGAAGGACTGGCTGCCTGGCAGTAGAGGGGCTGAGTGTTCGCTGAGTCCTCTCTGGAGAACAGGAAAAGGTGCTGTCTGCCTAGAGGCCACTGTGCTCTACTCAAACTTTTAAAAATATATATATGTTTTTATTGATTTGAGAGAGAGAGATAGATAGAAACATCAAGGATGAGAGAGTCATTGATTGGCTGCCTTTTGCACGCCCCGTACTGGGGATTCAGCCCGCAACCCAGGCATGTGCCCTGACTGGGAATCAAACAGTGACCTCCTGGTTCACAGGTCAATGCTCAACCATGGGACCACAATGGCTGGGCTCTGCTCACACTTTTGAGAGGACTTCCATCCCAGGGAGTCTTGGTCACTTTTGAGAGGACTTCCATCCCAGTGAGTCTCAGTCACTTTTGAAAGGACTTCCATCCCAGGGAGTCTCAGTCACTTTTGAGAGGACTTCCATCCCAGGGAGTCTTGGTCACTTTTGAAAGGACTTCCATCCCAGGGAGTCTCAGTCACTTTTGAGAGGACTTCCATCCCAGCGAGTCTCAGTTACTTTTGAGAGGACTTCCACCCCAGCGAGTCTCGGTCACTTTTGAGAGGACTTCCACCCCAGCGAGTCCCGGTTTAATCAGCTGAGAGGAGCTGGCCCTGGGAGAGAGGCCCTGGAGAAGCAGCTGTGGGGGAGGAGGACCAACTATCCAGATGAAGCCAACAGTCCATTCTGGTCCTGCTGACCCCGCAGCACCTCCCTCCCTTCTCTGGCATGTGTCCTCTAACAGGCACACATGCCAAGGAGATCATGTGCCAACACCCCTGATACGGCAACTTACACCAAGAACACTTTCCTCCCCGGGACTGCATGTCATTGGACCTTTTGTGACTGGATTAGGACAGAGGGAGCAGCATGTCACTTTCCTGCCTATCTACTGAAAGTCCTGCTATTGAAAACTCCACAAAGTCACAGAATGTTAGAGCCAGGATCGGCCCTAGAAATACCCAGCAGTCCTTCAAACTAGCCCAGGTTACCCTGACCCTAACACCCTGAGACCCTTCCCTTCTCTCAGCTTCGGCATTTCTTATTATCTCTGCCCTCATCTGGCATCACCTTTCATTTGCCTTGAATATGGCTGGTATGCTTAGTTTTTTTTTAAAAGCACATCAGGTGAACAAATACATAATGGTGGCAACCATTTACTGAGCATAAATGATGAGCTAGGTGTCGACCTTAGTGCTTCATGTACTTTCTCTTCAATTCTTATGAAAACAGGGTGATTTCCGTATTGAGCCCATTTCACAGATGAAGAGCCTGAGGCTCAGAGAGGTTGTGCTTTTGCTTAAGACAATCCATCCAGCCGACACATCCTTCCTGGTTGCTGTGACTTCTGGGCTCTGTGCTCGCTGGGTGCTGGGGACATAACTTATGAACAAATGAGCCCTGAACCTTCATCCAGTGATTTAGGAGAAGCTGGAAATTGAGTTGGGACAAGACTGTTAAGAGGCCCTGATATAAGAAGCAGAAAAGCCTTTGTTAAAACACAGTATGACATGATCAAAGGTTCTGAATGTCCACGTGGTGGCTGTAGGGACCCAGGGCGGAAGGTGGCAGGCAGGAGATGTGTATGCTGGTCAGACAGCAGACAGCAGCAGATGGAACAAGAGGAAGAGTGAAACTCGAGCCTTGACAACAACGGCCAACTTCATAAAGCACCAGTCATCCCAGGACTCGGGAGCACAGGAGAAAGGGTCGTGTGCCAGTTTCAGGTGTCTCATTCAAGGCCTGTACGAGAGCCGGCCAGCTGGTGCTGGGTGCACACTCCACAGGCCTCGGGGAAGAAGGCGACACAGGCGGCCCTGTGGCACTCAATCCACAACCCCCTCCCCCAAGCCGCTCCTCACCTGTGGGAGCACCTGTGGAAAACCATCTCCCCCCCCACCCACTAGCTTCTTCATTACACACCCAGAAGCCCAGCTGCCCCGGCTGCATGAAGAGCTGGGTCTGAACTCCACTCCCCGGGTCAGCGCTCTCTCTTGTCCCCCGAGCTGCGCTGCCCCTCTGTCCGCCCCCTCAGCACATCTTCTCCTGCAGCAGAGAGCAGCTGCAGGAACTCAGCTTGGCAGGACTGGTATCTTGGGCCTTAGTCCAGCTACTTTTTCTGCCTGAAACTCTGCAGCTATACTAAAATAACTGAAATTAGTCACATCCCCCTTTATTTCTCCACAGACTCCTTCCTCCCTGTCCCCTTGCCCCAGTGAGAACCAAGATGACAACTTTAAAATCTTGAGGACAGAAACTGTCCTCCTAGTAGAGAGAGAGATGTCCAAGAAGCCTGTGAAGAGACCCACAGGGGTGTATTGACAGGCTGCAGACACCCCATCCTGCTCCAAGGTAGCAGTGGGGCTTCCCAGGGAGTGCCCCGCAACAGCACTCACTGTGGCGTCTGGTCACCACACCTACCAGGCTGCTTGCTAAGAATTAGGAGCAGGTACGTTTTGGGTATATTCAGGGAGATGGAGAAGGCCTGGGCCACGGGGAATCAGTAGCTGGCTCTGCCCCCGGCTGGGACGCGAGCAAGTCACAGGCCTCTTTGAGCTGTGTTGTCACCTGTAAACTGGGGTCTGGCCACAGTCTCTACGTTGCCTCCATATGAATGTTTAATTGTTTCTCATGAAAGAACTTTTTCCTCCACTGACCTGCAGCAATTTTAAAAACAAAAGCTAAAAATCACTTTTGGGTGGATAATTCCCTCTATTTTTTTTTTTTAAATATATCTTTATTGATTCCAGAGAGAGGAAAGGAGAGGGAGAGAGAGAGACAGAAACATCACTGATGAGAGTGTCATTGATCAAGCCCACAACCCGGGCATATGCCCTGACTGGGAACCGAACCCCGATCGCCTGGATCCCGGGTCGACGCTCAACCGCTGAGCCATGCCCGGCCGGGCCCTCTTTCTATTTTTAATCCCTAACTTCTAACTCCTCTCCAGGTTGGTGCAAGAGGAAGACACCCCCCCCCCC